GGTGGGCACGGCCCCACATGGCCCCGGCACAGGGCGCTGCCCTTGACAGGAGACAACCTTCGCTGAGCACCCTTACTGTGTGCGAGCCCCAGGGCACGGCGGTGGAGGGGCCAGCCCAGAAGCGCCCGCTGGAGCTGACCTGGGCGGGGGCGCCCAGGGCTCCCACAGCCACAGGCAGGCACTGATTCTCCTCTGGAGTCAGAATGACTCATTCATGCCCTCTCAAACCTCTCTCTGCTGCCAGGCCCTGTCCTAGATGTCACAGGACACAGAGCTGAGTAAGATGGGTCCCTGCCTTGGTGGGGCAGAGTCCTGGACACAGACAATGACCACATGCAGGGTGATCACTGAGCAAGAAGTTTGGGGATGGGGTCCTGCAAGAGGGGTGAGATCTGGGAAGACTTCCTGGAGGTGGTGGCCCCTGAGCTGGGTCTTGAACACTGACATAGGCTGGGGAGAAGGGAAGGCATTCTAGGAGGGGGGACCCACATAAGCAAAGGTGCAGAGGGGAGAAAAGGGCTCTGCATAGTCCAGGGACCAGGGCAGAGTCCCTGGGACACGCTGGTTGGCTGTGAGCAAGCTGGGACAGGGCCAGCCTGGGACTAGGCTAACCTGGCACCTTAAAGGACAGCTTCATTTGCCATCCGAACAGCAGGCTGTCACCAGCAGCTGTCTACCGGTACCACCAACAGATAAACCCATTGGGTGGAGACGCCCCAGGTGCTGCGGTAGAAACCACCATCTGCATTGAAGTGAGCACAAATGGGGACGCACGTGGCCTTGCAAAAAAGGTGGGGGTGGGCCCAGCAGTCCAGGGTACTCTCCTCTGCCCTCACTCCAGGCAACTCTGAGAACTGGGCACTGGGCCACATCCCTGCAGGGAAAGGGTAGACCCTGGTAGCCCCTCCAGGTAGCAGGTAAACTCCTAAGGTGCTGAGACAGTCCAAAGTCGGGCTCTGGCGCCACTTGTCCCTAGTGGGGTGACTAGGCAAAGTCACTTTTCTCCAAGCCTCCACTTTTTCACTGTAACGAGGGGGTACCACTGTCTCTCTCCCAAGGGCAGATGTTCAGATGTTAGAAGAGCTGGACTGGGAACTGTACATTTCCTCAACTCCCCTCTCCCCATGTCCCACATCCCATCATCAGCAGATCCTGCTGGCTCAACTTCCAAGATACAGCCAGACTCCGATCTCTTCCCACCACCTCTACTGCACCACTGTCTCTCACCTGCATCCTTGTCTCAGCTTCCAAACTGGCCTCCCCACCTCCACCTCACCTCTCTCCAACACACACTACCCCTGCAGCCAGAGGAGCCTCTAAAACCTAAGCCAGGTAACATCCTTCCGTTTCTCAAAACCCTCCTGCAGCCCCCACTGCACTCAGTGTGAGACTCAGAATCCTTCTAGTGGCCCCCAGGGCCCTACAGCCTTGCTCTCAGTCAGGCCAGATTCTCCACTCACCTCAGGGCCTTTGCACTTGCCATTGCCTCTACCTGGCACTCTCATCCCCCAGATATCCACACTGTGGCTCCCTGCTTAAGGGAGCCTATCTGAGATGCTCTCCCTGGCCAGATGTATAAACTGCTACCCCCCTCAATGCCCCTGGCTCTGCTTTATTCTACATATCACCCACCACCTGACACATTATGTAGGAATTTGTCAATTTCCTTAGTGTCCATCTCCCTCCCTAGACTTACTTACAAGCCTTTCAGAGCAGGGACTTAGTCTTGTTCCCTGCAGTACCTGCCAGGTTTATACCAGTGCCTGGCATTGGCTGAACCTATGTTCTGGTTTGGATTCTAACTCTGCCGTTCACAAGACCCCAGGAAAAGTCTTAACCCCTCTGGACCTCTGGTTTCTCATCTGTAGAATGGTGACGATGATAATAATAATAACACTAGGGTTGTTACAGGATGACAGGGGCTAATGTGTGTGAAGGGTTCAGCGCAGAGCCTGGGGCACGGCAAGCACTCAGCGCAGGGCAGCCGTCACCTGCAGCGGATACGGAAGGATGAGGGGATGACAGCCCATCACAGCCTTAAGCCTGAGAAGCTAAGGATTCTCTCTGAGGCAGAGCCAGCTCTGCTCCAGCGTATCCAGGAGACCACTCAAAGCCAGACCTGCGAGCAGGCTGAGCACAGTGTTGGCAAGGAGGCCAGGAAGGCCAGAGGCCCTGTGAGTGTTCGCTGGGTGTAGACCGGGCCTGGAAGTGAAGAAATGTTTGCAAAGCGGCAGGGAAGAACTATCAATATGTGTGTGCTGTAAGCACCCTTCATATTTACCAGGCCTGGGGACCAGATGAGGCTGGGAGAGCACATAGGGACACTAACATCCACCATCCACTGTGCTTGGTGCCTCAACAACCTAAGAACCTTCTTCCCACCTTCCCATTTTGCAGATGGAGAAACTGAGGCCGGGCAGTGAGGTCTAGAGACGCTGAGAACCCAGGTGGCGTCCTTCCAACCTCCAGGCACCACCCGTTCCTCTAGGACAGGCCCTCGGCTGCCTGCCATGCTCTCATGGATACAATGTGTAGACGAAGCCAGATAATGGGAAGCCCTGATTTAACCGTCTCGACAGCCTAGGGAGGCGAGTGCTGTTGTCACCAGCCCCTTCCTACAGGTGAGGCAGCTGAGACCCTGAAGGCAGGGAGGGGACAGAGGCAGGTCTCAAACACAGACATCTGCCATCGGAGCTCGTATGCGATCACTTCTCTCTGCGACGGGGTCCCCCTCCAGCTCAGGCTTCTGGATTCTCAGGCTGCCAAGGCTGCGCACACATTTTCCCAGCTGAGATAAAGCCCCCTTAAAAGCAACACGCATTTATTAAACGACATTCGCCAAGGCTTCGGCACACTCTGCTGCCGACAGCGGACAGTCTCCGGATGAGATTTCTCCCCAAGCTGACACTATTCATTGATGCCTGTTACAGCGCTTTTTGCAGCTTGCAAAAGCACTTTCCACAGCTCTTGATTCCCTTAACCCTACATAGTCCCCGTGTGGGAGGAAACAGGGGTAGCATTTCCATTTTGCAGATGGGGAAACTGAGGCTCAGAGCAGGAAAAGACACTTGCTCTGGAGCACGCAGCTAGCAAGTGGCACAGCCTGGATTCAAACTCAGGAACATGCTCCAAAGCGGGTGCCCCCTCCACCGCCTCCCCTGCGAGAGAGGGGGTCTGGGGTGTCATCAAGACAAACAGTGAGCCGGGCATCCAGGCTGGAGCATCACAGCTGGAAGGGACCCACAGGAGAGCAGTCACGCTGAGCCTCCACTTTGCAGAAGGGGAAACTGAGGCCCAGAGGGGCAGCGTAGGGGGCTTCAGGTCTCCCGGCTGGTAAGTGATGGAGCGGGAACTCCACGTGCTCTTTAGAGCCCAAACGTAAAATGATGACCACACAACAACAGCAGTAATAGTAATGATGGCTAACGAGCATTGAGCACCGACATTACCAGGAGCATGACAGGCCTCACCAAACCTCTGCAGGGACCCAGCAAGACGGGGCTGTCAACACCCCCATTTCAGAGGACAAGACTGAGGCTCAGGGAGGTAGGGCCACTTAGCCAAGGTCACAGGGCTGCGGAGCGGTCTGACTCCACCTGTGTCCTCACCCATCACACCAGACGGCCTGTGCAACGAAGGACCCTCTGGGGCAGACTGACCCCCGAAGCGGGCCCTCCAAACCGAACCCCGGCCAAGACAGTGTAGCATTAATTGTGTTACATTTCAGGGTTTGCTTGCTCATCTCGCTGTCTACACCAGGGCAAGCAGTTTTGTGGAGCCAGAATTTTAAGTACAAATTCTGGGGTTTCTTGGCCGCCTCGCCCAACCAGACTGGCACTGATGTTTTTGTGTTCCTGATATTTTAGGGACCCCTGTGACAGCGCGATGGGCAGGGGTCTGCGGCGTGGTTGTGGCCCTGGTAGTTAGGATACAGCTCTGCTCTGGGCCCAGGGGTAGTGCCTGTGTGAGATCATGGCTCTGAGCCCCCTCCTAAAATGGGGATCTCACTACCCACCTGCTCCTTCATTCAACCA